TCGGAAAAAAAAGGGTTTTCATATGTTTTACTATTGATCAGCAAATCTCGGCCAATACTTTTTGGTAGTGAGTGTAGAAATTCGTTCTGGTTGTGTACTGGCAAGAGGTTGCACAATGAAACATTGATTCTATTCGCTGATTCTCTATAACCAACGATATGGGTTATGTTGAGTAGATTTTGTGTAATGATGTCAAGTGAATTTGGTGAGGTGACGTCAGTCACATTGAGAGAATTTAGTGTGTATGGTTGGTTATTATATGATTGATGTTTTTCTTTCAGGGCTTCCCATGAATCAGGTGATATTCTGTCAAACCTGATTTCTTCCAGAAGTTTGTAAAACATGGGGTCGTTTTGTTGGCGTTGCGAATTACGTAGGAATAGAGGATAAAAAAGCCGCCAAATGGGGGAGTGAAAAACGAAGGATCCGTTTACCGGTGGTAATTGGGCTAGGTCACCGACGACAAGAACGTTCACATTCCCGAAGGGTGACTGAGTTTCATGAAGTCTGGCGAAGATTTCAGACAGGAAAGTAAAGAGTGTTGAGGATACCATTGATATTTCTTCGATAATGATTGTGTCTATTTCTTTTAGTTTGGTTTGAGTGCTTTTTTCGGAGAAGATTAGTGTTTTATAACCTGAGGATGTGTTGTTGGAGGAAGTTATCTTTAGTTCAGAGTGTATAGTTTTTCCGCCTACGTTTTGAGCAGCTACTCCTGTTGGTGCTAACAGAATGTATTTTCTTTTGGAACGTTCAAGGAACAATTTGAATTGGTGGATGATGAAGGATTTTCCTGTTCCTGCAGAACCTGTTAAGAAGAAGAATCTGTGTTGTCTGTTTGTTCTTGATCCCATTGTGTGAGTTAGTATATTCATGATTTTATATTGTTCTGTGGGTAGGGTAATAGTCATGTTTTCTAGTGAAGGGGATGGTAGTATTTGAAGGCTGTTAAGTTGAAATTCAATGATGTCGAGATTATTAATAGTGATTTCTCTTTCTAGTGTTTGGAGTAGGGAATTGACCAGAACTCCAAATTGTGATGTGAGTTTAAGTTGTAGTCGTGTCTGTGTTAGGTATGAGTTTATGTTTTGGCGGTATTGTTCAGATTCGTTTGGGAATAGGGAGAGGTAGTGTTCTCGATATGCAACAAAGTTATTTGAAAGTTCATCTTCTGATCTCCATGAGCGCGTTTCCAATAGTCGATGATAGAAATATGACTCACCATCTGGTAATTTTAGAAATCGTGTGCGAGTTAACACTGGTTTTGTCCGACGTACAATGGTTTGGCCATCCATATCAATTCCCGCATTCCGAGGTGAGCGGTAATTTGGAGGTTTAATTTCGTACAGGCGGTAGTAGTCACTGTATTTTATGTTGTGAAATTCTTCTGTTAATGGACGATGGAAATATTTTTCAATGGCATCTTTGTAATAGGGTTCATCTGGGTTTAAGAGGATTTGGTGCTTTGGTCGGACAGTTTTTGATCGTAATTTGGGGGGATCTGTTGGAAGGTATATGACAGTTGCTGAAGAGTTACATATTGTTTCACCAAGTGTTAGGAACATGGCTTCCATTGTTCCCAGTCTTCGTGCTAATATGTGTTGATGGTAGCGATTTCCTTCAGATATGTTAAATAGGTGAGCAGGTTCAACTTTGGCAATGTATTTAGTCATGTAACGTGCAAAACCTTTTGTTGTGACATATTGGGCATTCATGTGGGCATTCCAGGCTAACAATGTTGGTGGATGATAGGGAATAACCCAGCGGTCTTCAGGTTTTGTACATTTGTATATGTATCGTAGAGAGTTATTATCATGGTATGTATGGGTGGAGTAGGGGCGGGGGAAGAATTTTGAACATTGTTCGCCATCTACAGGGGGGCCTCCACAGTGTCTTGGAGAGCAGCTGTGTATCTGATGAGCTATAACTTTTTGATACAATTCTGGTTCATGTTCTGGATGAGGAAGATCACTGCGGATTTGATTAGATATAATCATTTGTTCAATGGTGGCTGTTGTCCAGAGACAGGTATGCACATGTGCAGCACCTCGATTTTGAAATTCAACACGTTCAAAAAAGTTTTCAATTGTACCCCATCCAGAAACTTTACTGTCTTTCCAGATGTTTTTTTTCATGGATCTAAATCGATTGATGAAATGGCATGTGACATGAAATGGGCGGTTTGAAGGTAATGTGTCATAATTATCAGTGTTTCTTAGAATTTCTTTGAGATGTTCCCATTTTGTTTCTGCCATAGACAATGTGATGAATAGAGATGGGAGTCCCAGGTATCTCAACATTGTGTTTAAGTGTAATTCTTTTTCATGAAAATAGGAGTCACCTGTGCGAATGAATGTTGGAAGTGGTGTTGTTAGGGATTCATTTATAATGAGAGTCTCTGTATTGTAACTGCTTTGTCTTAA